GTGTTTAGGATATAAATATGTGAAACCCAATATAACTGTTTTTATTCAATGTGAAAGATAAAATTTTCTCTTTTATTTTCTAGATGTTTAACATGACAACAAAAAACATTGAAAGAGATCTGACTTGAATATTTTAATATCTAGATTAAATGAAAAAAATTTACAATCATAATGACTCATTACAATTTTAAAGTAGGTAACTTTACATACTACAAAGAGTACAAATTAAGTAATTAACATTAAAATTGAATCTACACTAATCGACTTTCAGAAAGTTCTAATTTGAACTAATGAATTACTCCTGTAACTCCTCGTGGAGGAGCATAGACCACCCACCAGCATTCTCCATCCATCCCTGTCGTGGGCAATCCTTTCCAGTTATTTCCAGTTGTTATTCATCCTTTTCATATCTATTTCTATTTCTCGATTTGATGTGTGCTTTGGCCTTTTGATTTTCCACTTCCCTTCAGGATTCCAAATGAGGGCTTACATCGTGATGTAATTTGATGATTTCCTCAATGTCTGTCCTATCCATTTCCATCGTCTTTTCCTAATTTCCTCTTCAACTGGAAGGTGAACTGTCCTCTCCCACAGAATGGCGTTGGGTGAACTGATTGAAGACTATGGATTTGTCATTACCAAATGAAAAATTTGGGCAAATTTGTTTATCTTAATAAATTGTTTTGATTTTTCAATAGTAAGTTAGTTTACATTTGTTCTTTCATCATATTCATCTATCTAATCAAGATACTTTGAAACTATTCTTCTGATATTTAGAATCACGTCATTAATGAAAATATCTCAAGTCGGTATTATTCTGCTAAGGTGTTACACTAGACACCTTTTAGTGGCGCGTTATTCACTAACACCAGTTAAGTCAATAATTATCCACGAGGATAGCTAGGATGTATATTATGATAACAATCATTCATACAATACTACTGGAGTCAGATCCAGAGTCACTAAAGTGGTGAGCCGAATGTGTTTCGAACACGCAACCTTATGATATGGAGTCAGATCTGGGGCCAATAAAGCAGATCACTAAAGTGATGAGCCCGTCCACAATATCGTCCAATCTAATTGACATCAAAATGAAAAGTCCTAATAAAATATTTCCAAGGATCAATTTTGCAGGTGCCTTCGATAAACTGGCTGCATGTATCGGAACTTTCGGATTATGAAAGAAAAAGAAAACCATGATCGATGTAGTAAATAAAATATACAAACGAAATATGATACAATTTCTATTGATATTCATGTTTAGCATCTCATTGCTTTAGCTATTGCAAATCACTTATCGAAACTGGTGTCGCGACACGTTAATGTATAAAACCAGACATCGTTGGTTTTGAAATAATTGAACTTATTGAATACTAACATTAGAATCTTTTTATTATGGTCCCTAATGAAACCATAGTACTACTATACATATCTTGTGTATCCAGGCGAATTTGACCATCTACCAATTGAAGTAATATATTATTGAATAGTTTGTTTTAACAATTATATTTTCTTTGAAACATTCAATTTATCTTCACTTTAAATGTTGTGACTAAGTTATTTACATAAACTTATTACCCTCATGAGAAGCATAAGCCGCCCACTAGCACTCTCCATCCAATCTTGTGCAATGAACGAGAAAACAAGCGGGATGTATCTAAACAAAATTACAGAATCTCTTATTAAAATCTGAGAACCATACAGTAAATACTTCATTTGAAAAATGTCAATCAATCATCTCAGACTTTTCTGTCCATTCATTTTCACACTAATCATTTACTGTTTCCACTCTTTTTCTTCGATATTCTTTACTTTCTGCTGCCATTTCACTTTCGATTGATAATACATACTACTTATATCTGTCGACATCAGTAACACAAGCCACAGCTGTACTAGGCAATCCTTTCCAGTTGTGAATTTGAAGTTAAAAGGAGTTCTAAAGTAGGAAACGTTTTAGTTCCCAAACTTTTTCAAAATGGCGATAAGATTTTTACACAATATATGTAAAAAAACCCCAAAATAGTCATTATTTGTATTATTTACATGATTATCATTGACTGGTAAACAAGCTTTATATTTCTTCTTTCATACAGGTTGTTGTTTGCATTCATTTGCAAGAGTTGTGGTTGATCAGTTTCGCTCAACATATGATCTTCTTGACTGGATTGCTTTGGAGATGCCATTAAATAGAATTAAACTTCATCCTTGTTCCACAAGTCACTGGGTAGTTAGTTTCAGTAGCTTGGTGGAGAAGGCTGTAGGTGTTTGAAATGAGGGGTACTAGGTTCGATTATTAGGAAATATATTTACTTCAGGATGTCGATGCATTCAATTAACGAGTCCGAAAAAAGAGGAGTACCAGTAAACCGAGTTTCACTATCAAACACGATCAAACGTTTTCTTTGAAAGGTTTATATTTACGGACTAATTTTCTCATTTAATGTAAATTTTTTGTTTGATTAATATCTGATTTTACATATAGACTTTCTCACTGATAAATTTGATTAAAATGTATACGACAAACGTGACAACTATTCGCAAATCAAACAGAATGGTGTTGATTTCATAAAGACGTTATTTATACTCTATATCGTAGTATCAAAAACGGTTCACAGTAATACAGATTAATGACAGGAGAAGCAAGTGTTACTTACTTAGTTACGCTTGTTACTTACAGTGGAGCATAGGTCGTCGAACCAGCATTATCCAAGCAAGTATGGAAGGACTATAAAATTGTTCAAATGTTAAATTGTGTGAAGACTGAGGTCGACAAGGCAGTCGGTTAGTCAGGTAGTCTACACCTACCAACATGGTGCACATGGGCTCCAGTATCCCGCGGGAACAAGTGGCGTATGAACCAATTGTTGGTCACCGGCTACCATGGGACTGCATCTCCTCACGATGCTCCACTGCTCTGTGGATCAGACCTTCAGGTAAAAGGCTGGAGTTGTGGCCCCCTAAGAAAACCACCTGCTTCGTTCTGGGCGCTCGGCCAGTATCACAGTCCACACACACGCACACACAAATATGGTGTGGCGCATATATATTTGGTACACTCTTGTACTAATATTTATATGTTGAAATAAATAAATAAATGGCTCAGTTCACTTGTCAGTGACTTCATGGACTTGTGCAATGTTTCGGTCTGGCCGCCTCTAGCTTTCTCCCAACCTACTCCTATACCACTGAACATCGCACATCGAGGCAGTCGGTGGTTTAGCAGACGTAACACATGCCCGAGCCATCTCAACTGATGTAGTAAAATTAAATTGTCTAATTCTTATTGTTACTGTTGTTGTCAGTTATATACCCTTGTGTTTCAGTTATGATCTATACTCTTGTGAATATTTCTTATTATTAATGTCTTATCATTCTATAAAATGCATAACCTGCGATCAGACATTTGATCTGATTTGTTATTACATTACTTAATCAATAACTTCCCATTAACTTCTTCAAATTTAGATCTAAATCAATGTTCCAAATGAATAACCAACTTTATAGTAAATACTTCTGAAATTGCTGTATGTGAACATGGAATGATTTGTAAAATGAAAGTGTTAGTCCTGAAATGATTAGTATGTCATGCTAACTGAAAATCATATCACTTTCCACAGTAAATAATCTTCCACTAAATACTTTATATACTGTGTAGCCACATTACTTGCACTTCTTGAACCATAAAATATCCTTTTACATTCTGAATGTAATCTCACAATTTCATTTAAACGTATGAAGATCAAGTTCCAGTGTCTTCGAAGGATATGCTGTTGAAACAAACAAAAAGCGGTTGAATTCTAAGAGTCAGGGATTCTCATAAGAACTCTGGAAATTTCCTCTCGAATCCAGTCAGTAGTGAACAATTCGTGATTTCGTTGACTTTCCCCAATATTCCATTATTGAGTTAAAATAGCAAATGCAGTACCGATGTTGTGATCATAAACATCAAACTCTCATTGATGATTATTCATCTATCATTGATGTAAACTGAAACTATTTTACTAAGAATATGATTTCAGTCGATAAATGAAATACGAATAACATATCAGTAATGAACACGTTTTGTGAAGATGAGATCATTGCCTTCAATTCATTCGTGCCTAGTCCTATATTGTGGAATATGACTGCTGTTAGTCACTGACGTCCAGCATATAATACGGCTCAATCTTAACAATGAGAAAAGTTAGCTGTCTGAATAAACCAACACACAAAATGTAATAACATTAGCTTCATTCATTAATCTGTGGCGAATACAACGTGTAAATCAATCTAATCTCCATTAAACTTCAACTCAATGAAAAACGATGCATCGTTCGTATCCCACCAGTTTTGAGGTCAGATCATTGTGATATCAAGTTGAAAATGCTACTTAATTTTAATAAGTATCTAATTTCAATTGTAACAATTTATGAATAAATAAGTGGCTTTGATTCATATTCAACAGTCGTACACTGTAAAATGAAGAATTATCTATTCAACAGTTGGTTTACTTACATACTTCATGTTTGTCACTCTCAATGGAGCATAGGCCGCCAACTAGTATTCTCCAACCCACTCTGTCCTGAGCCTTCCTTTCTAGTACTATTCAATTGTTGTTCATTCCTTTCATATCTGTCTCCATTTCTTCGCGTAATACGTTCTTTGGTCTTCATCTTCTCCTTTAGCCTTGAGAATTCCAAGTGAAAGCATTATCTATTGAAGAGATTGGTCTACCTAGAATTAAATCAATACAAAACAGGTTAATCAACCACTCACCGATCAGTCTTCATTGACCTATGCAACATGTTTCTGTTTCCTCAATTTCATCACTAATCAAGTGTAGTATTGAATTGATGACAATACATAATCAAAGAATTAGATTCCTTTTACTAGTCACATGTATTGCACCATATAGAATTAGTGAAAAATAAACATACAATAATGTTTTACATAGTGAATTACATCAATGATTATCTACATAATACATAACAGTATGCATATCAATCCATCAAAAGCCTATTCACATTTGTTATGCGTAGGCTAAACTCACTCATTCATTTCTTCTTCTTTTACTCAAATACAGGCTCATTGACAAATCATCAACAAAAAATGACATAATCAGCAGGTATGCAGTTTAATTAAAAGTCAATTTCGAATGGAATAATCAAAATAGAAAGGGGATTCAGTGTGAAATTCATCAACAAGAATAGAGATTTAGTGAACACAACAAAACTCTTGTGGCAATTCCCCAACAACATCATCATCCAGTTCAAAATCATGTATTTGTCAATAGTTGGACAATATTCAACAAAATTGTTCGTTTTCTTCAATTGTCTTTTTATTGTAAGCGATAATTTCCATTGATTTGTTTCTCTGTTGTTCTATTCATTTCATTCTTTATGATGCAATATAGACAATTGGCAGTATTGTGGTTGTATACGGCATGAAACTACCAACCAATCTATTTGGATATAAGAGGATTTTACAAGCAACTACACCACCCATCTTCCTAACTGCTACTTTCTCAGGAAGTCTTGGTATATTAGCTGCATGCATCAGAATATTAGCAATATTGAGTGAAAGAAACATGATCATGTATCTGGTAACCATTGAAATATTAATGCATATGCATATGCATTTTTATCCAACTTTTACGTTTAGCATCTATGTACTTTGACCATTGTAATACTTATGGAAATAGGCATAGCATCGACATCCTGTTTAATGAACGATCAAGTTGGTTCATGTCTGACTTCCGATTACTTTCACGTATACAGTTCTTCACTGAAGCTCATAGTTCGTTAAATACGAATGTTAAACAATATTGGACAAATCTTCGTTATCAAATAGAATTTGATGATTTACAAACAACAGTAAGTAAATGTAACATCGGTAAATGCGTTAACACTCTACATACAGTTCCGTTGTTGTGGGGCTGATTCATCCAACGATTATCCACATGTTAAACAACTTCTACCGACTTCATGTTTGGCTGGAATAAAACCATATTCACTGGTAAGTAAATGTTTGATTGTTGTAAAACACTCTAATTTCATATGAACCCATTGAAAGCTTCTAATTCTGAAGGGAGTTTCAACATGGAATAGGTAAATGTCTAAGGAAATGTTTGACGTAACATCTCTGCACGTTATTGTTAACAAATATAAAGCGATAACCGTGCTACAATAACCAAGATTTGTCCAATACTCAAACTATACAGTTCATTTATTCAAAAGTATACATTTTACACTATGGTTTAACATGCTTCCTACATATTCTTAACACATTCTATTCACAACAAATCCATTGGTCATATCTACGTAGGAAATTACTACTCTTCTCAAAATTCACCTGGAACACATGACCAATGCATATTTGTAACGTTCAGTCGCAAATTCGCAGATGCTGAAAATTTACATCCTGAGATCCTCAATTCCTTGTTACATATACTTGTCATGTTAACGTTGTTCTATCCATCTTAACTTGATTTTGTGTATATTCAAATAAATATGCTAGGACGGAAAGGCCTTCCGGTGCTTTCAGCTTTCTAATGGTGATCTAACATTGGTCGATTCATGATCTCAATCACAACTCAACCATCTGCACAACTATACTGAAAATAAATATACGTGAATTTATGAAGTAGGATACAGAATGAAGACTGAAGAACAAGACACTTTGATTGCATGGAAGTTAATGTAAAAACACGTCTAAGCAGATAAGTGATGGTTGTCTTATTTTCATTAGTTGTCTAATTAAAGTCAGTTCATCATGTAAACTAAGAAAAGGAGGCTGTCTCAATGCCTTCCGTAGGTTTCCTTCAACAATACTAGATTTTGTGGCATACTTATCAGTTTACTGTTGGTTTAGTGTTGTAGAAGTAGCTATTGTCCTAAGTGAGAAGTTGCATACATCCAAAGCGATTCGGTTTGCTGATCGCTCTAAGGCTTATCTTATTTACATCTTAATGTCTGCTTTTCAAAGAAGGACCACATTTATCAATCTGGTCATTGAAAAACCTCCACCGAATCACATTATTAACATAGTCGATACAAATGGATCAGTGATGTGAACACAGCAGCACACGTTTCAAAGGAAATACGATTTTTGTTTGATGTATAGAAACATTCAATTCCAAACGAATGAAAATTTCTTGACTTTTGGATGCAGTGCTCATATCTTATTCAATACACCTTCATAAGGAAGGAGGATTAACTTGTTGTACAGACATTTTCCAATGAATCATTTCATGCAAACTAAATTCCACAAATCACATTCAACATTTTCATCTCAAGCTTACCAGTTATTCGTCATTCACTCACTGCTTTCCATGACTCGCAGACAAATACTGAAATCAACCAAACAACCAAACATCGTTCTCTATGGTCAGATAGATGGTTGATTCACTTGTTTTGAATATTACATGGCACTAAACATTTGTATCTTCACAACTATACATGATTAATTAACACTGTGCAGTTTCTTTATTTAACATATATAGGGATGCATTGATGCATTGAATGAATTTGTACAATATTACAAAAACATTCTGATCTATTTATGCTCCAGTTTTGGAATAATTCATGGTATCTACTTGATTCTCTCATTTGGGATGGTTTGTAAATGTAAACATGGAAAAATTCGATCGACACAAACGCCTTGTTGAAATAAAACGAAGACTACTGATGAGGATTGAATCTCGGCCGAAATTTCGCACAAATAACACTTAATTATTGTTGGTAAAACACCATTACACTTTTACATAACACTTGTTTCATCAATTTGTAATTTATACATTTTATTTATGTAATAAATCGCACAAAGATTACAGAGTTACTTGGTGAAATTTAAAAACCATAGTCTTACACTTTGTTTGCAAAAACGTTCATTAGTTGTTTCAGACTTTATTGTTCCTGCATTACCATACCATTTACTTTCTTTTCCCGTTCTTGCCTTCTTGATCTTCTCAATCTTCTGTTGCCAGACATTCTCTTTCTGACTCGCGTTATATACTACTTATGTCGTTATAAGTAGCACACTCCATAAGACTCGTATAATTTGTAGCATCTTCACCTATTTAAGCCAGAAATATATTTCACTCTAATGATAGAACTACATTCATAGGATGGATTCACTGATAACATTTAATAGTTGTGTTAGTGAATATCATAATATTTGCGGCCTGCTTGATTATCTGGGTTACCTGTTCCTGCTATTTAGATATTTCAACAATTTATCTATTTTTGTGTTTTAAAATATCAATATATCTGGTAATCAGTTGGGCTATTCAAGTGCTTTTATGGAAAGTTTACAATCTTTCCCTGTAAAAGTTACAAAAGTGCCTAGTCAGAGACATCGGGGTTGTTAAGAATATGCAGTGAAAAGTATGTACATTATTCAGTTGTCGATTCCTAAAATGCTAACCTCTAACTGGCGACCACTCAATATGTTATTGTCCGAATCGACCAAGAGTTAAGAAAAGTGACAAAGCTTACGTTCTACCAAGAATATAATATTGAATGAAGCTAATAATAATAATAATAAAATTATAGTAATAATATTAATGAATAAAATGTGACTTTCGCTTCCAGCTCAGATAATTCTTGGTTTTTACACCGAAAGGAAACAATACAAATCAGTGTGTTATCGGAAAATCCCGAATTGTTAAATGTGTACATTTACAAATGATGTATGGGACAGTAACTGGTATAGCTAATCATAAAAATCTCATTAATCAAACTCTGTTAAACTAAGTGAAGTTGATTTGCTTAAGAATGATATGTAGAAGTAGTCGAATGTATTATACTAACTTGTAATATCCAAAACCATCAAATTCATACGCTTACTTACCTACTCCTGTTACACCTCGTGGAGTAGCATAGGTCACCCACCGAAATTCTCCAACAAACGCTGTCCTTCGCTCTAGCTTAAAATTGTTTTAAACTACTATTAATTCTTTTGATGCCTGCCCCCGATTCCCTAAGCAATGTGTTTATTGGTGGTGCGCTTTTCCTTTCACTTCAGAGCACCAAGTTTGCAGTTTGATGATTTCGGTAATATATATCCCACCCACCACTTCCAACATCCTTTCCTAATTTCCTCTTCAGATGGGAGTTGGTTTGTTCACTCCCACAGTAGGCTGCTAATGATGATATCCATTCAACGGACATTGAATATCTTGTGTAGACAATTGTTTATAAATACTTGTAATATTTTGATTATCATTGTGGTAGCACTCCAAGTTTCATCTCCGTACAGCAGAACTGTTTTGACGTTTGTATTGAAAATCCTGACTTTGATGTTGGCTTGTAGACAGCTGTTTTGAGTTTCATATTTTGTTTAACTGTATAAATGCTGTCCTTGCTTTGTCAATCCTCGCCATTACGTCTGCATCGGATACTCATTGTTCATCGACGATGCCACCCAGATAAGTGAAACATTCCACCTGTTCCAGAGTTTCCCCATCAAGCCTGATTTGGTTGGTGTTCTTAGTGCTATATGTGAGGATCTTATTCTCTCCCTTGTGTATATCGAGGTTTACTGATGCTGTTGCACTGGCTGTCTTCACAAGCATTTGTTTATATGTATGGTATAGAATAGCTGAATCATCTGTGAATTTCAAATCATCTAGCTGCATTCAAGCTGTACTGAATTTTTGTGATACTTTTTCTCCAGTTGTCCATTGCTTGCTTGGCCACAGTTTCATCTTGGCAACCACTAGGTAGATGGTGATCTCCAGCTATGTCAAATCACCTGATGGTTATCATGTCTTCTATTGACCTTGTGAATTCCTTAGTGGTACAAATATGATCGATATGGTGCTCTGTAGTGTGATCCGGTGAAATTCACGTAGCTAAGTGAAACTATCCACCTATTCTAGACTTTCTTCATCAAGACTGACTGGGTTGGTCTTCTCCGTGTTGTATTTGAATATCTAGATTTCTCCCTTGTGTATGTTGAGGCCTACTGATTTAGAGGCCACTGCTACAATGGCTGTCTTCATCAACGGACTTCCACTTCATTGTTTATATTCCCAAGAACTTACACCTTAAAGTGTTAAGATACCTGAATTATATATAAGAGTCAATTTAAACAAACTAGGATATGAACAAAAACAAATTGCATAACGAAACAGTAAATATTAACCCTAAAGACATATGACGGCTTGAATTTAGGGTTCAATAAACTATGTATGCTCTTAAGATCGTTTTTATGAAAAATAATCACAAAGACTGACTTAAAAACAATATTCTGATTCATTTCAACTGTGATTTGGACGATAAAGGAAGACGTGTATTCGGTATTTGATTTTACCTGGTCATTTTATTTCATAAATTTTTTACAGTAATTTCCAAATCACAACTACCCTTCAATAAGTAAGTGTGTCCATGAATATGAGAACTATAGATATTGTTTCCTTCACTAATGATGAACTCACCTGGATAGGAAGTCCCATTATTATCTGGTTTAAGCTTTCTTTTTAACACAAAGCTGTTGGATACACTTTTAAATGTCAGGGTAGTGCGTATACTATTTCTAATTGTCATAAACATAGTAGTTATTAAAAATATCAAAGACTTTCTATTGGTTAATGGAATTCAGCAGATAACCATTCTTCATTTATTCTTCAATCAAAAGTGTAAAATCGACTTTAACATGATAGGTGGGGTCTTAGAAAACTCTTGGAATCTTCCTTACTGTCAATAAATAATGATAGATTCACGTGATTGATATCTAACAGTTCGAATTCGACACTCAAATGATAATCTTTAAAACCTATTGTGGTGTTTGAAGTGAACACACATTCCTACCATACATCAGTGAATTTACAATAAATGTTTCACAAACCAATCAAACAAATAATGAATAATCTTGATTGTGCGTTGAAATAGGTCAACCGTATCGACAGATATTCATTCGTCACTAACTCTTGGAGACAGTCACTAGTGAGTATATGATGATTACAATCTGAGAGGGGTTTTTCGGAGATTGTAGTAATCTAAAAATCGAATTCATGATTCATTGGAATCTAGATCACCGTCGAACACCTCGGTTTGAATGTCGAGGGGCATGATCTGGAATGTGCACTGTTGAAGAGTTCCATACTAGAATGAAACGGCCGTCCATTGCTTACAGGTTTTTCATGGTGATCTAGCTTCAATTGACTCATCAGTTCAATTATTGAATTACTAAAATGTCCGAAAAACCCCTCTGTTTACTGAAAGATTATATTGTGTATAAAGTTGTATGAAATCGAGAAGGAATAATTAAGTGGAGTGTAAGCAAATCAGAATAATCTCGTGTTTGGTAGATGAATATTGATGTTATGTTGTTTCATATGACTATATCGAACAGAAAAGTGAAGAATATGTTACGAGAGATATTTGTTGACGTTGAGTTTGCGACTGAATAATAGTTGGTTAGACAATTAACAGTTTACAGGAATGTGTTAATGTATGAATATTTACGTCAATCTAGATAGAATTATATGAATCAAGCACATCAATTCATTTGATGATAGTGGGATGTTTTACAGATACCATCGTCAGTATGTGCATAACGATAACAATATTCCATTTCATTTAACATCAATAATCATAATTTAAACACAACTAATTCAAATACTATGGAGAACTTGTTTATGTAGGCGGGATCAGTTTTGTGACGTCAAAACCATGATGTCTAGTAGTGATTTTGTTGCCATTCTGAAATCATAGGAGTTATTCACATACAAAACTTCATTACGTCATCCCATTTCTAGGCATTCGAATCTGTCAATAAACATAATAAAATAATATTTCATTTATCTTAAATATTTGTAGTGCAGTGAACGAATACTCACGTGGAAAGAAACCCAATTGTTTTGTTTGACAAAAAATCACACAGTGATTTAGTAAAAAAGAATATGCAAATCATATATAGAGTACATATTGGCACAACTTCTTTGCATTGGATTTACATACTGCATTATTGTTTTAATTCAGTTGTTATTTTAATTGTTATTCGTTTCCTTCCTGTTCTCTTCATATGAAACTTCCTCTGATCGGCATTCTACTCCGATTGCTGCCACGTACTACTTATATCTGTCAGCCTCATTAACATACACCACACTTGTTTCCTCTTTAAACAGTCGCTCCTTCAGTCGTTCTTCTCATAGTGCACCTTTCCTCCTTGTCGCATTCTATGCCTTGTTCCTCATCGAAATGTGGATTCCGTCGACACTCTGAGCTATATAACTGTCCCCAACTCACAGACAATCTCAATGCGATGTCCATCCTGCACTCGGAACGTCTCGCGTCTTCTCTCATCTCTCTTCTCAACACTGAATATCACAAGCAACACCATCTCATCAGATCAATCCATTAGACGTCTACTGACTGCAACAGACAACACCAACTTAATACTCATCTCTAGACCCAACAACGGAATCCACAGTACAGCACCATCTTCACCTCCTCTTTGACAGCGACACTAAATGTTAACAATAAAAACGATAAGAATTTCGTCACAGTTCCATCCAATGAGACGACAATAGAGGATTCTTTATATACATCACGGATCATTCTCGCTCTATCAACAAGTAAATCTAATATATTTACACGGTTCAAAATATCAACATATGTGGAATCGTCATCATTCTATACTGAGCAGAGAGAAATGAAGCTCAATTTATTCATCCTAATCAGTAACGAATGATGTTCAGAAGATTTTTATATTTGAAAGCGTAGGCAATTCCAGATATTGACATAACCAAAATTCTATATGTATTTATGATTTCGCGTGTTAAACAGGAGTTCACCTCCAGACTGAACATTCATGGAACTCAAATTGATTGCGACAGACCTACTTTAACGCACAATCAAGATTATTCATTATTTGTTTGATTGGTTTGTGAAACATTTATTGTAAATTCACTGATGTATGGTAGGAATGTGTGTTCTCTTCAAGTTACAATCCATGTCAGTTATGGAAGTGTTGAACATTCAACTAGGCAATAAAAAACACAACATTCCATATTAATCGATCAATAATTAGTAATGAATTCCATAAACCAATTGCTTTGAATGTTATTGGTTGGTGAATTCAGTACTATTCAATTTTCTTTCAGAAGTGAATTGAAACTGGAATATTTGTACTACCAACTAGTTTACATCATTTTAGAGTCTTTCATTACACAATCCACACTGCGTGGATTATGAGATATTTTGGCATTGAGAAAGCTAATTTTGAAATCTCATCATTGTTCATCAATTACAGCGAATGATAACATCACTGATTTCTCACTGATTTACATAGAACCAAACGTAAGAGGATGAATCAGTATTTCGGTAGTAAGATTCCATACATCTTGATAAAATGTAAAATCGTAATGAAGTTGGCTTAACATTCATCTTTACCACTGCATTAAATAAATTCTTCACTAAGGCACGTCGTCGGCAGCTCGTTTTATGTGTATGCATGCGATTCGATATCATAATATTAGCTATACTTTTGGAGTTTGCGTGACGATAACACGCTATTTGATATACATTGTTTGAATATCGTTGAGTCCTAGTTTATGACTCATATAATGCTTTAGAATTAATACTGGAAGCGATACGGGTTGACTGTCAAAAAACCAAGCCCGGAAAACCATGATTCTACATATAATAACAATTCTGTTATTACATCTACCCCATCCTCTGCTACTCCTTTTGAATCTGATAATGTTGGGAGTGGTCTTACAACACATCTGCTGCTGGATGACTTTAATTTAATAATGAGTCCCACCTCAAGATCAAAATGTATCGATAATATTAGGAGTGAATCAGACACTATTTTTTATGCAACTAAACAAAATGCGTTCTAAAGTTGAGTCACTTGCTAGCTCTTTATCAAAGCACGATGATCTGAAACAACCTCTACAACCTCTACATTTTTGAATATTATTAACGGAATGCAGCTATAAGCCATTAAAGATGAAAGATTGGTTAAGTGAAGTCTTCTCTCTTTGTGGAATTCATTTTCAATGCTGTCATCATACCAAACGGAAGTTATTAATCAGTATTATTATCAGAGTGAACATCAACTCTGAGATGTAAGTTCTTCCA